ACCCTGAATCTGAATCGTGAGTTGAATTCCAGTAGAAGAGACCCATCCACATCCTTATCCTTATGCTGCCACCGCTTTGTGGCAGTCGGGGGGGCTGTGAGAAATTGCAGTGAATAAAAAGCACTTGTACGCATTAAAACCTAATTGGGAATTTCCATAGTTCATATGCCATTTTCCTAACTGCTGCTCTGTGAGTCAGTGAGTGAGTGAGTGAGTGGCTACGTGTGAGCGACTGTTTCTGCCTGAGTTTGTGTTTCAGTGAGTCCTCTCGACTATCTGGATGTGTCTCTGTGGCATGTTCTACATATTTTGGCTTTGCAAAATGTCACACGCAGCCAACGATGTCGCTGGCCCAGCTGCTAAAGTGGATTTTGCGCTCGGCTATGATAAATTGAGGGTTTTCAGCTGGACAACGAGAGTGGCAGCAGACTGAACCGGATCGTAGACCGTAGATTCGTGTATCGTTACCTAAACTCCAATGCTGCAACCCTTAACCCCGGACTCTAACACCCGATACTCATCCCTTCTTCAAAAACGGGATGCAAAAGCAGTTTTAGGAGTGGGAATGCGAGGAAGCTGAGGATGCGAGTGGATGAGAAGTGGCCAAATGTCATTTGCAGTTTGACAAGACCAGCCAGCCATGTCCCTGTGTGTTTGTGGTTGCACCATGGGACCCTCATAAATTTTTGAATGCTAAAATTTAGAATGCTCATAAAAAATGAAATGCGCTTCAAGCTGGCAGATTTCGCAGGAAAATCACCTTCCTCTGGGAAATGAATTTAAATTACTCTAATGCTATCTAGTTAATCAATTGAATTAGCTCTTTAAAATGGCCGTCGATTGGAAATTAGTCTAAATATGGCTTTGTTATAATATGCAGGCTAATTTACATTCATATTGATAACTTTTTTGCTTTAAACAAATATTTAAATAATTCCAACAAATGTATTCAAATTCTTTTATGTAATTCCTATGCATTTTAAATTGTTATAAATTTGGCTGTAATAATTTAAGCGCTTTAAAAATAGGTAAATCAGGTAGCAGAGGTGCTATTTAAAAAAGAATTTAATCTGCTTTAGTTCAGAGCTGTATTAAATTGTTCCATGTGCAAATAATGTTTTAAATTCATTTTGAAGTCCCTGAAGCTCTTGAAGCACCGCTCCACTGTTCAGTTGCTTCCGTTTCGCTTACCAAAATGTGGGATTGCTTTTAATGCTTCCTCCGATGTCCTGGCACTCCACTGCCAACTGCTGTCGCACTAATTTTATCAATTTCCCAGCCAAAACTGAGGGGCAAAACGTCGATAAAACCCAAAAACTAATCGACTTAATCGGAATGCGGCAGTCTCTCTTGCCAGCAACTGCAATGTCCTTGATGTGAACTTCGCAGCCAATCGAGATGCTGGAAAAAGAAGGGAAGCCTGCATATATGCAGGGAAACAACTTGGCTTAACCGATGATGACTTTGCCGCATCGTCTACGCCTAAGATAAGCGAGTGACAAGTCCTTGGGCCGCCCCCGCAGCTGCTTTGATTTATTATTGCGGGGCTTAAAGTTGTGAAAAGGCTGTGTCCTGGCACGCGCTTATCAAGGACTCTTTGAGGGACACAAAAACGAGCGGCTGGCAGATGAAGCTCCCTGTCTTTCTCTCTGCCTTTTTGAGTGGGGGAAATTTATTTATATGCACACACAAAAAAAAAACTTAGTAAAATCAACTGTAATAATTGTCAAACAGGCCCCAACCAGCAAAATTGTCAATTCTACTAAGTAAATTGTCATTTCACAACAACAAAATACACACAATTAGCAAAGACACAAACCCAAAGCAAAAACAAAATACACGTAACTATTTTAATAGTTACGTAACTATCTTTGTTGGTCAATTTTACCAAGCAATTTTTTTTGTGTGCAGTGACTTTAAAAAGAAACTTCGACCGTTGCCAGGCGAGCGAAACTTTCGACCTGCCAGCGCATCGATTATAAAACTTTTTGTCCTATCTCGTCTGCAGCTTCCTTCGCTGGAATTGGCAAAGTTGTTAAATAATTGCGTCGAGCGTTTACTGGCCTTTTGGCCCACTATGCGTATGCGTCATATGCTGAATGCAGGGAATCAGAATCAGAATCAGCGGGATTAGCCATAAAGTTTGTCCGGCAGCTTAGCGGGTGAGTTAATTGTGCGAATGTCAAGACAAATTGCGTTAATACGACCAGACTTGCAGAATGGGAAAGTAGCTGGCAGCTAGCAGCTCCCATTTGGCCAAAAGATCAGGGACGAAGACAAAGAGAGCAGCTTCCACACAGCTTCTGCAGCTTTTGCGTGAGTGTCGCAAAAGTTTTCAAAAAGTATTTTAAGCGAAATTTATGCAAACCACATGGCAAACTGGCACTTCCCGAGTGCTTATTTATGCAAGTGAGTGTGTGTGTGTGTGCCGGGGAGTGCTCTGCTAATCCCCGAGTAATCAAAGTTTCGGTAATGTCACCAGAGACAGGCAAAAGCTGCCAAAGGAAAAAACGTAGTCAGGAAAATTGGGAAAAACTCAAGCAAGTCCCCTCACACATTTTCCCCTGTCTAACGTATATATAGTATGTGTATTAAGGGAGGTTGGGAAAACACTTTTCCAATTAATGAAATCTCTAAACTGCCATAAATTCAGCCCGGACGCAAATAATTAAATTTCGTGGCCCACACAATAGGGCTCACACAGACACAGGCCCCAACGACTTGTTGACTTGTGGGTGTATGGGTGTGGCTGCACGAGTGTGCGTCTGACATCTCTGACCAATTGCGCGCTGACCGCAAATGTAAGCGGCTCTTGTTCATGGCCAACATTGTGGCTGTCAAATTGACAAGATATCCCAGTATCAAGGGAAAGGTACACGCATGTGTGTGTGTGTGGGAAGGCTCCTTATTAAAGAGGAAAAACATTTCCGGTTTCGATAAACGCTTAAGGGAATTAAACCCTGGTTAACCAAACAGAAAATTGCAAAGTGGGAGTCGACACTCGGAATTAAGATTGACATGGAATGTCAGTAAAAATTTGACAGTCTAATTATAAAGTAGCCAACATTATTAGCAGCTTTTGAGTATTGGTCTATGGATTATTTAGTTATACAGTTTATTCCGAAATTATTATACAATTAACCCGTAAAAAAAGGGAAAACGTTTTTTCATAAGATCTTTTATAATTTCCGAAAGGTAATTTAATTTTTAATGAACTACAAAATAATGAGAAAATTGTTTGGAACAAATATCACTATGGACGGCAGTCCATGTAGTGACGAAGCGCACCAGGAGAGTGTGCGAAGGCGACTACTATATATACACGAAGAAATGAAAATCTACTGTGATGGTCCGATCATAATGAATGATACACCTATCGAAAGGTATTGCAAAAACTAACAGGATTGCATACCAAGACTCTAAGAAAATCAATTTGCTTGGGAGAGAGAGCGGTGAAAGTGAAAAAGTGAAAATTTCGATATTTGGAGCTGTTGGGGCCGGTGGGGATAATTGCCCCCTCGCAATATTTTACTTGTATTCCTTTTGAAAATACCCGTCGAATGAGGGGTCGTTTGTCAAAATCCGACGCTCCGTTCAAAAGTTATAGCCAAAATAAGATTTTCTTCGTCTTCCCAAAATGAAAATTTAATTCTGTTTGTCAGTTTGTCAGTTTGTCAGTTTGTCAGTTTGTCAGTTTGTCAGTTTGTCAGTTTGTCAGTTTGTCAGTTTGTCCAAAACATGTTTTTTAAGTTCTGAAAATTTGATATGACGTTCATCACATCGATATAAAAAACTTTTGTTCTACCACTTTTGGAAAAACTCGCTAGTTTAGCGGGAAAACAGCTATAAATAGCTAAAATTCGGAAAGCCGTAACTTCTATACTACTAAAGCTACAGACTTGTGCTGCATCTCGTTTGAAAGGTATTTTGAAATGCTATAAACGCCTTCTATATGCAATTTGTGTAAATGTAATAGTTAAAAAAATATGAACAAAAGACAATTTTTTAAAACTTTTTTTTAGCTTTTTTTATTTTTCTCAAAAACGGCTCTAACGATTTTCTTTAAAACCTTAAACTGTATAGCCCTTGAGATTCCTTAAATTTTGGTATATAACACATTACTGTAAAAAGTCACGTTTAATAGTTATTTTTATACGAAAATAGCCACTGTTGCCAGCTCGAACAATTAACGCTCCCTGAGTATTGAATTTTGTGGGAGGGTATCCGAACTGTATTTTAGGGTCATGGAATCAGTAAATTTGCACTTAAGAGTTCCATATAGGAATCTTTTGTTCTACGACTTTTGGAAAAAGCCGCTACTTTAGCGGGAAAAAGCTAAAAATAGCTAAATTTCGTTAGTTTGTAAGTTCTACACTACTAAAGGTACAGACATGTGCTATACCTCGTTTAAAAAGTATTTTGAAATACTTCAACGCCTTTTTAACTTAATTTGTTAAAATACTTTAGTTTAAAAATTATGATTGACCAATTTAAATTTAAATGTATATATTAGCTCCTATGAGAGCAAATGTAAACAAACAAAAACTTCTGATATCAAATAAAAACACCTCTTAACGAGGTAAAAAACTAGTGACGACCGCACCTTCAACATACAAAAGTTCTGATATCAACATTTGTGACGAAAAATTATTACACTCGTCATTAAATAGACTTTCTAATATTTTCTCATTCGGCACGCTGCAATAGAAAATGCCTGTGAAGGGAAAAATGCTGGAATAGTTTGCTAGGGCGGGCCGAATGAGAAAATATTAGAAAGTCTATTTAATGACGAGTGTAATAATTTTTCGTCACAAATGTTGATATCAGAACTTTTGTATGTTGAAGGTGCGGTCGTCACTAGTTTTTTACCTCGTTAAGAGGTGTTTTTATTTGATCTTATTTATACAAAAACAAAAACCCTCATTTCGAATAAATATATAGAATATACAATAATATAAAATACAAAAATATTAAAAATATACAATATTTTCTTAGCTCACCTGCTTGACACTGGCACTGTCCGCCGCCGGATCCGCCTTCTCCGCTGGCCGCTGCTGCCGCCGCCTCGGCCGCCTGACGTCGCTGCTGGCGCCTCGTGAGCTGCAGATGGGAGACATCGCGTCGCAGGCGATGCAGTTCCCGCCTCACGTGCAGGGCCAAGTGCTGATTGGTGGCATTATTTTGGCCGCTGCCGCTCTCCGTGTCGCTGGGATTGCTGGCCAGGATCTGCGTCTGGTCGGCGGGCCAGTGGACCAGCTGCTGCTGCTCCAGTCGCAGCTCCAGCTCCACGATGCGGGCATCTAGCTGCTGGAGGCGCTGCATCCGCTGCTCCAGCCGCGTCTGCCGCACATTGCCGTACAGGGCGAAGCTGAAGGCGCACAGGCAGAGCACGTAGCTGGCCACGTGCAGCAGGGATATGAAGCGGACTGTGGGGCGAGTGGGTCGCTCCTTGCTGTTTATAATGCTGGGTTGACAGGGGGGCGGGGCCAGGCGACTAGCTACCGATGCTGCTGCTGCTGCTGCATCCGGTGGATTGTGACCCAAAAGCAGGCTCTGCTGTGGGGTTTCCACTGCTGCTGTTGCTCCTCCTTCTGCTGCTCCTGCTGCTGCTGCGGGGGCTTCCCCCGATTGCGAAACGTCCTGGGGCATTGTCCTTGGACTGCCGCTGGGCGGCGCTTTGTGCTTGCGCATACTGCTGCGTCTTAGATGGAAATGAAAGGCTCGCCACGAACGGAAAACTCGCGTATGTTGCTGTCACTTGAAGTGTCCTTGTGTCCTTGTGGCATCACAGAAACTGAGCACAGCGAAAAAAGCACATATGCTGCACCGCAGTGGTTGCTCTGTTTTTTCGTCCTTACTACGTTTTTTTACTATTTTTTGGCGAACGGCTTTCGAGTGATTTTCTATTCTTCTTCGACTGCGGTAGTTGGCCAACAGCACATTGCGCCCCGTTGTTGCTGCAGTTTTCCGGAGGCCATGGAACGGAAAAAGTACGTTAAACTTTTGCTGCTCGTGCCACTCGAGCGGGAAGTCCTCTTCTCAGCCAGTTGGGCTTTGTTTTTGCCCTGTCAATCGCTGTTCAGTGGCAGCTGCTCCTGCCAGTCGTTGACAAGTCCTGTTCCTTGGTTCGCACTTGTCCTTTCAGGGTCCTTCACATTGCAACTTGTTTAGCTCGGCGTTCACTTTTCAACTGCAACTGCAACGACACAGAATGAGAAAAGAAAAGTGAAAAATAAAGTTGGGCAAAAAGTTTTCTTTGGCTATTTTTTTTTGCTTTTTCTCCATGAATTATGTGCAAACTGGACCGTCGGCGGTGTCGCCACATTTTCAATAATCAGCCGGGCTCGTCGGCGGCCGGATGATGTCTCCCCACCGCCGAACTAGCCGACTTGACTTCGAAGTTCAACCAGGCGTGCTCGACCCGCAGAGAAAAAGCCACTGAGCTGAGCTCCGAGCACCTCGCAAGAATCGGGCAACCGAAACTTTTTCGCACAAAACTTTTTTCTAGCTCAAGTAGCTGTAAAGGCAGCCACTGACAAAATAAAAAGAATTAAAAAAAAAAAAAAACACAAAAAACAAGAAACAAATAAAAAGCATCTCGAGAGCAGCAACGAAAACGGGAAAAGGCATTTGACCCATGGACTTGTCGTGTCAAAAACATTTGTTGCCTTCAACTCTGCCCCACATGCCACCTCCAGAAATGGGGGGATAATGCCAGGGGGTGGGTAAATGGGGGCGTTTGGCAATACAAAAGTCATAAAGTGGAAATTATAGCACCGACGGGTAAGATGGAGGGGAAAACAACGAAACTGTAATGCTCTTTAGAGAAATGAAATGAGCTTGAGAACTTTTTAACAAGTTTCCCATAAAAATAAAGAACAAAAAACAACAGCTCTAAAAGTATCCAAAAGTTGACCAATATGGTAGCCCATGGCAAAAGTTTTCCTAAAAGCTGCAAACTATTACTCAAGAATAATTAAAAGGATTGGTAAATAATTCATAAGTGCAGAGGTTAACGAATAGACAAGTAAGTTTATTAAATTCTATGATATTTTTCAGCAGTTTTAAATTTGTATGAGTTTTTCCTGTCTAGAGTTTACAGTTTTCCAATTTGCTGATTCATTAGGCGGCCCAAATTGCTGATTAAACATTTCCACACGCACAAAAGCCAATATATATTTATTCATCTAATATTACTTATTTTCGGTGCGTTGGCATTGCGCAATCATGCGCCTAACAACCAAAACAACAATGAGAGAGGAGCCCCAATAATACTGAAAAAAAAACAATCGTGCCATTGAAAAGGCCCCACCAAAAACGCAGGAGGCGCCGCAACCGCAAAAAGCGAAAATTGCGCCAAACCCGAAAAAAGCATAAAAGTCAAAAGGCCAATATCAAACAGAAGCAGCAGCATCGGCATCGGGTTGAAAACAACAATGGATACTATATCCAAAACCACCTCCCCCCCGCCGGAAACCCCCTTGATTTCGAGTCAATGGAATGTTTGGAGCACCCTAATAAAACTAATTGAAAGTCTTGTGCGCTCCGGAGCCAATAATGGCAAATGAAGACGGCGATGATGATGATTCTGCAGATGATGATGATGATAATGATGATGTCCGGGCCACAACAAAAACAACAACAATAACAACTGCAAGGCGGTGGAGAAGCTTTTAATTTAACAAATAAGAGCATGTGTGCAAAGTGGAGGTTCGTTGTTCATTGTTCGTTCACTGGCTTCCACTGAGTTTTGAGCTGACACTGCAATTGGCTGGCTACTGAATTGCCCTCTTCCACAACCCACCCAGCATCTCTGCCCATATCGATTTCGATTTTACACAATGTAACTGCCAAAGGTTAATGCTATTCCGAGGGAAACCGGGGACAGCTAACTCAATATAAAATAAATTGATTTCAAATTTCGAGCAGCAGCTCCATGTGGAGCGCAGCTTTTTTCTCAATTACATGGGGAGTTTTGAAGACTCGTCGCCGGTCAAGCAGCGCTGTGAAGTATGCTATGAATTTGTACGCCCTTCCAAGCCGAAATTGAATTAAACTGGTGTGTGTGCGGCCACTTAGCACACATATTGATAGGCGTTTGTGTGGGTATGTTTGTGTGGTGCTGGTGTGTTTGTGTGGGTGAGTGCGTCCAGCTGGCAATTGAAAAATTTGATTTGGAATTGAAATGCAAATCAAGCCAGAATTGAAATGGTTTTAGCCGGACGCCGAAAACGGAGTGGAATCCTGCCCAAGAGGCAAAAGCTTTCTAAGCCATCCAACAATGTTGAGTTAAGTGCCACACGTACGTGTCCTTGCCTCAGTATGGGTGTGTACACACATACATATGTGTATATTGGGTCGGGTTACAGTCAATGGCTGTAAAAAGCTCAATTGCAATGCATTCAAAGGGATTATTGTCCTTATTTATTTTGCTAAATTTATTCGTTACGCACAAATGCGCAAACCAAACCCAAATAACCCGAATAAGGACATGGCCACGGGTCCGGTCGTGGCAAATAAAAACATGAACATGATGGCAAAACAGCAAACAATGAGCAAAAAGGGCCAGGCCGAATCAAAGTAAATAAACAATAAAAATAATCGGGCCGTTAGCAACACATGTGCATTTTTCATCATCACCATCGACAACCCCAATATTCAACGTCATCATCATGGTAGTCAGCTCCAGAAAACGTTGTAGAACACTTACAAAAATATAATAGCTTTACGCAAAAGTTTCAGTAACAGTCAAAAACAAAAGATAAAATAATTCAAAAAATAAGGGAATGAAAATACAAATAGTAATTTGTTTTTTTAAATCAAATGATATAAAGTGATTTAGATTTTATCCAAAATTTTAAATCTTGCATTTTTAGCTTAAGAAATTTGTAATTCTTACTTTATGCTGATTTAAGATAATTTATTTTATTAGAAAAAATTTTTGTTTTTGTGTAGGTTGTTCCTGCCGGTGGCCATATCAAAGAACTTTGTTGCTGCCACTACAAAAGCAAGCAACAGCAACAACAATGGCAACAAGAAGCCCAACAACAACATTGGGGGGAATCCTCGACAGCTTCGTCTACGTTTTTGGGCGAGGCAATAAATAGTTGTCGTGCCATAAGAAAAATGCAAGAAGTGTTCAAGCTCCCTCGCTTCCCTTTCTCAGCTTTTCTTCACTTTTTTTTTGGCAGCCAGGACCCGGAACCCCTAACCCCTTGCTCACTAGTGTGAAGCATCATTTCCTTTTTTTCCCCCGCTCCATCATTTAAATTGAAAAATATTGAGGAAGCCGAAGTAGAGAAGTTCCTTGAAGTTAACTGAAACAGGGCCACGAAAGGACGACAATGTTGCAAGGAAAAAAAACTGGGTGGTGGGTGGTGACCGAATGAATTGGCAAACTTTCGATTTTGGAAGACAGCAGCCATGGAAAGTGTTGAGCCATTTCGATTTTGATTAAGGATCCGAAAAAAAAGTCGCAGTCAAACAAGCTTGCTGTTGGTTAAGAAATTGGATGTTCTTTGCAAGGAAATTAAAAGGGACTTTAGGGACTTAAAAGGAATGAGTTGCTGTAAATTAATTTTGAGTGCTTAGAATACATCAAATAAAAACACCTCTTACCGAGGTAAAAAACTAGTGACGATCGCACCTTTAACATACAAAAGTTCTGATATCAACATTTGTGACGAAAAATTATTACACTCGTCATTAAATAGACTTTCTAATATTTTCTCATTCGGCCCGCCCTAGCAAACTATTCCAGCCTTTTTCCCTTCACAGGCATTTTCTATTGCAGCGTGCCGAATGAAAAAATATTAGAAACTCTATTTAATGACGAGTGTAATAATTTTTCGTCACAAATGTTGATATCAGAACTTTTGTATGTTAAAGGTGCGATCGTCACTAGTTTTTTACCTCGGTAAGAGGTGTTTTTATTTGATATCAGAAGTTTTTGTTTGTATACATTTGCTCCCATAGGAGCTAATATATACATTTAAATTTAAATTGGTCAATCATAATTTGTAAGCCATTGTATTTAAACAAATTAAGTTAAAAAGGCGTTTACGTATTTCAAAATACCTTTTAAACGAGGTATGGCACATGTCTGTACCTTTAGTAGTGTAGAACTTACAAACTAACGAAATTTAGCTATTTTTAGCTTTTTCCCGCTAAAGTAGCGGCTTTTTCCAAAAGTCGTAGAACAAAAGATTCCTATATGGAACTCTTAAGTGCAAATTTACTGATTCCATGACCCTAAAATACAGTTCGGATACCCTCCCACAAAATTCAATACTCAGGGAGCGTTAATTGTTCGAGCTGGCAAAAGTGGCTATTTTCGTTTCTGAATAACTTTTAAACGCGATTTTTTACATAAACATGATATATACCAAAATTTAAGGAATCTCAAGGGCTATACAGTTTAAAGTTGTAAGGAAAATCGTTAGAGCCGTTTTTGAAAAAATTAAAAAAAAGCTAAAAAAAAAGTTTAAACAAATTTTCTTTTGTTCATATCTTTTTAACTATTACATGTACACAAATTACATATAGAAGGCGTTTATAGCATTTAAAAATACCTTTCAAACGAGATGCAGCAGTAGTATAGAAGTTACGGCTTTCCGAATTTTAGCTATTTATAGCTGTTTTCCCGCTAAACTAGCGGGTTTTTCCAAAAGTGGTAGAACAAAAGTTTTTTATATCGATGTGATGAACGTCATATCAAATTTTCAGAACTTAAAAAACATATTTTGGACAAACTGACAAACAGAATTAAATTTTCATTTTGGGAAGAAGAAGAAAATCTTATTTTGGCTATAACTTTTGAACGGAGCGTCGGATTTTGACATATGACCCCTCATTCGACGGGTATTTTCGAAAGGAATACAACTAAAACATTGCGAGGGGGCGTTTATCCCCACCGGCCCCAACAGCTCCAAATTTCGAAATTTTCACTTTTTCACTTTCACCGCTCTCTCTCCCAAGCCAATTGATTTTCTTAAAGTCTTGGTATGCAATCCTTTAAGTTTCTGCAATACCTTTCGATTGGTGTATTACTCATTACGATCGGACTATCACAGCAGATTTTCAATTTTGCGGCTATATAATAGTAGTCGCCTTCGCACACTCTCCTGGTGCGCTTCGTCACTACATGGACTGCCGTCCATAGTGATTTTTATTTTTCTTGCAGCAGATGGG